GGACAACAGAAATTCTGAATGGCTCACCAGAAGCACTGGGAAGATTCAATCTTCTACCCATTTCTATGATGAGACAGTGTTACCTACAGCGATGAATAGGATAAGCTATGCTTTTAATGACTCTTATACCTTGAAAATTCAAGTGGGGTATGGTAGGATACTCTTAATAAGAAGTCACCTATATGAGTGTGAAGTGGGGCCGCTTCTATGAGAACTTCTAAGGCTAAGTTTTCTAGAGCGCTCATGAAATACCAGGCGTTGTTCAGGGCCATATGAACACAACCGTGAGAACCGACTTTGTGTGGGAAGGAATTGTGTGTTTGCTATTGTCTTGGTTTACATCAACGGCTGAACAGTTCAAGACATAATGTTCACTGGTTAGCTAGTAAATCCGATAGTAATACACTAGGGAAGGTTCAAGGCCAAAAGCTACCTATCCCGATGCAGTAACTTTCCAATAGTACTCTCTATAGTGTCTGTATCTTCTCCTTTGTAATCTGCGAAAATTTTCATTCATGTGGGGGATTGTTGGAAACGGCATTAAAAAACGCAAACTTTGGAAGGATTTTTAAAAAGATTCCGCTAAGAATTTTTTGCGAATCTATTGATGAGCGCGTTCCTCTCTGCGAGGAGATGAACATGGTATATTTATTTTCTCAAATCCGTTTCCGGGTGAATGAGAAATTGGCTCCAAAGTAAGTGATTTATAAAGCCTAAATGGGTGTGAATAAAGTGGGAAATGCTTGTCCCACATCGGAAAAGTAGCAAAGCAACCTTGAGTATATATATGTCTAGTATGGGATTTGGGTTTGGGCCCAAGGGCACCCAAGTTTTTAAGAGGGGGAGGACCTAGGCTAGCCTGGATCCGAACCAACTACCACACGCGCGCGCCGCCCGCCCGACCCGACCCGGTCCGGTCCGGGCTAGGGCGGGGCGGGGCTTGATTGTGAAATGGGTTTAACTTTTTACCCAAAGTTAGGATGGGCCTGTGTGGTAATTTTATTTTGTTGCTGGACTTATCAAAATGGGCCTATTTACTGGACTTATTTAAGTGGGCTTGCGGGTGGAGCACGCTGGGCTGGGCTGCCGAAGTTTGCTTGCTGGGCTTAATCTGTTTTGGGTTTAAATTCAAATCAAAAACTGTTTTTTTTTTTAACCAAGGGTTGCACCCTTTACAAATTAAAAACCATTGGTCAACAATGGTTGCACCCATTCGGACTATGGGTGCACCCATTCAGAATAGGCACCAACAAGCCTATAAATACCCATCATTGGGTTCATTTCAATTCACACCAAATTCAGAAATCTTCTTCTCTTCTTCTGAATTTCTTCTTCTAATTCTTCTTTGTTCGGTTCAGCCACTGGTTTGGGTTCAACCTAAACTGGTTTGGATTGGGTTCGAACCTTGGTTTCCAAGTTTAGGTTCAATCTTGGTCTCCGAGTTAGGATTCAATCCTGGTCTCCGAGTCTGAGTTCAACAGAGAGTGCTACACCGAGTCGGTTCGCCTATTCCATTGGTTTGAAGTGCTACTACCAAAGGAAGAAAAGTCGTTGTATCCTGGGAGATAGACGCCGAAGAGTCCGTTAGCACCGTAGCGGGGCGTATCTGTCTTAAGGCTATAGAATTAAATTCTAGCCTCGACTTTATCAGGTTCTTTTATAGTTTTATTTTCTTGATATTATATAGATTATTATAATAAATATTATATTTACAAATAATATTTAAATAAATTATACTATAGTATATGATACATTATTTATTATTTTTGTTTAACAATTCTCTCATTATGCATCCGAGAGAAAGTGCTATAATCATGAAGAATAATAATAAATGAAAATAAAGGGAAAACAATATAAGGTTCTGTTTGGTTTCAAATCCTGTAAATGGTTTTCTTCCTGTTAAACCATTTTGAAGTATAAAGGAAGAGTTTCTGGATAGAAATGAAGTCCTAGAAAATGATACAGCAGAATCATGATTCTGTCAATAGGTTATTTCCACCTACAAATCCATATGAGGAGGTTTTACACGTTGGATTCTCACTAAGCTCCGCAAATATTTACCAGATATTAATATGATTAGAATCACCACATTAAACAAAATCACATCCTCTTCATCCTTGAAAATTTCCAACTGAACCACATTTAGATGACGTCGTTCTGCATACCTCCTGATATCAGTCGGCCACTTACCTGTGCCTCTTTGCATGCGATAGCTTGTAGGGTCAATCTGCAGATTTCATTAGCAGGTGTTAATAGTTCAGCCTAGAAAGTAGGTAAAGCAGTCGTAAGAAGCTTTTTGCAAAGTATGCTTCTGAGAATAGTCATGAACTGACACTGTAAGTGCTTTATGAACTTAAACTAGTTCCAGTTTTTTCGAGGAAGAAACTTACTGTTATGAAGAGCCTTTCTAAGGAAGGACACATTTTGAGGAAGGCGAACAAGGAATCAATATTTTGTTTTTCCACTGAACTATCTATCAACTTGAATCCTTTAAATGGTAAAAATTCTCCATATATGGCCATTTCTTGCCAATTGCCTGCAACAATGAGTTCAGAAAACTGGTCTTTACCGTAGAGTTGAAAGGGAGCAAGGAAATTATGTGAAAAAGGATCTAGTTGCGTAAACTGCTAATCTGATCATCGGCATTTTCTTTTTCACCTTCATCTTTTTCTGCTGCTTCAAGTGAATCGTCATGTGAACAGGTGGACAATTCTTCCACAACAGAGAACCTGCTCTCAGAATGCAATCAGTTTTGTTGCAGTTTATAAACAACACCAATGTTTAAAGAATAAACTTAACTAGAACAAAAATGGGAAACGTTTCTTACTTTTGAGCATTTGTGGTTTCAGAATCGAGTTTGTTTCTTCTTTCATCAAGGTTTCGATTCTTGTTTTCCTTTTGGAGCTTCTTGGCCATGCCAGATTGAATGGCTGATAGAATTTGGACCTGCTCCAAAGTTATTGCTTCATTATAGGTCTATATATATATCTATGTACTTCATTTTTTAAGAACCAAAAAAAAAAAAAAAAAGACACAGAAAACATAGTTTCTTTCCCTTACTATTGAAATTAGAGACAAGCAATGCCATCTGATTTTTTGAACGAATACTATGTTCATATGATATTGTTGGAGAGAATATTGAGAGAGTGATTACTAAGTTCACAATCATTATCAAACTACGAAAATTGAAAATGGAAATTTATGAAACAGTGGGTAGAAAACCCATTTTAAAATTCGAAATACTAAAGTGCCCAAAACAAACAAAGGTAATTCATGAACAACATGAACATTGAATTTTCAGTTGCCTAACATTTTAGGAAGTAAATACGAACACAGAAGTAAATACGAACACAGGACACGGGGAGGACACGATACAGATACAGGACATTGGTACGACACAAATATGGTGATACGGCAAATCCCGGACATAAATATGGGTACGACACAAATACGATGATTTGGCAAATCACGAACATAGGTACGGCATGAATACGTCAAAAATTAATAATATGATATTTTATTATATATAGAAAAACAATTATTTTTATTTATTTTTCTTACATAATCATGAATGAAAGCACTAATTTGGAATTTTGTATTTAATGTTTGTTGTTTTTGTTATTTTAAATTTTATATTATTTTTCCTATTAGTCCATAATATATTTTAAATTGCATTGTATTTCATTCGTCTAAAAAAAATACAAAAATTATCCCACTTCTTGGAAGTGTCCAAAATGTGTCATAACCGTGTCCATGCCAGAAAATAAAATATTCAAATTTCAAGATACTTCTTGTCGTATCTGGACTTTATCCGACATGTATCCGAGTTATGTTCGACACTGCCACAACACCCCTAAACACCCCTAAACGAAGTATTCGTACTTCTTAACTGCATCTCTATTCATTCAAAAAATATATATAATAATACTCAATCAAATATAACAATCTATACTATTTTCCATTATTTGCTGGTCATCATCCAAGAATCTGTTGTCCATCTTAATGGTGCTATAAGAATATAACAATGATATAAAAATATTCCTTGTGGTTGTTATTGTTGGAAATCAAGCACAGACAAAATGAAGAATTATACAACAATCTAAGCTCGTAATTTGTGAGTTTTCCAAGCTGAGGCTTTTAATATTCAAAAACCCTAAACAGCCCTAATATCCTTGCGAAAGGTTTTTATATGAGAATACGTATATGTAGCTGTATTTATCAAATTGGAAAAACAGGTTGATAAATCAAACTCAATCAACTGAATTCGCGATTCGGCAATGTGGTTTGATCTCAAATTTAAAAATATAAAACCGTTTATAGATAATTTGGTTCGATTATAAAAAAAACTTACAAAGTTAAATCAAATCATTATATAAATATATGTAATGTATAATAGAATAACAAGATTACTTTTAGTCACTCAGCTATATATAATTATAATATATATTTTATTTTATTTATATAGTGAATTGAATTATAAAATAAAAAACTGTAGAACGGAACAACACTAATCCCTCACAATTTGGTTTGTTGGTTTCGTTAGTTTTCTGGTATAATAAAATATTATATCATATATAATATATATTTTATTTTTTATATATACTGGAACCGCACTAATCATTTTTGTTTTGGTTCGATTCTATTAGCTTCATGATTAGATTTGGGTTTAATTTTTATGAAATCATTAAGACTGATTTGATTTTAAAATCAATTTAATTTGAATTGTGTATACCCTAATGCCAGCGACATGAAAATCCAAGATTTCGTAAAATATAATTCTCAATAACACAAATATATATATATATATATATATTACTGTAGTTGGAAACTTGGATGTACAAAAATGAGTGAAAGTGAAGATAATATGGGTACTGAAATATATTTTAAGGTCATTTTTGTAGATTTAATTTTGAAAAAATAAAAGTATAAAAAGGACGTTAAAAAATTAATTTTATACCCCTTGGAAGTCGTATCGTATTATAAGATCGCACGCATTCACGCACGTGACCCTTCTCCAATATCCCCTACGTAGAAATCAGCTGCTGATTGTTTCGATTGAGGAAGATTTATTCATCGGCTACAGGTGAAGAAATCTTATTTCTAAGGCCACTATCGAAACCCTAGGTTCGTTTTTTCTCTCCCTTTACTTTTCTTGTTAACGATATATACTTGAATTTTGTTAATTTTTATTTGATTTCCCTAAGTTAGGGGTTTGTGTTTTTTTAGTTTTTTACCGTTTGCTTTGAATGAAATTATTATTATTATTTTCTTCCTTTGAGATTTAATTTTGCTGGGTTAGAGCTGAATGTTCGATTTAGGGTTTTTGAAATTTTGTGATTTTATGTTCGATTCCAATGTAAACTAATATTGAGCTTTCTTGTCTTATAAAATAGGGCACGATAATGAGATTATAGGGCTCTTTTGGATTTTCATTAGGGTTTTCATAAGACTCCATTTAAGTGTGTTTTAGCTAAGGGGTGCCAAACTACGAATCACTTCAATTTTAAGGATTAAACCCTAGTGATGTTATTTGGTATTTCTCGAGAGTTCACATTTGTTGATGAGAGAGATCATCTTGTTCTTCATGTAACTAAATATTAGGTATGTTTTGAGCTCCAAATTGTGTTGCCATGATTAAAATTACAACATAGTTCTGTACATGGATATATCAAATTCCATGTATTACCGGCTTTTTTGCACATGATGATGTAATAACTTATATGTGGTATGAGTCTTTGGATTTGTTTATATTTGTTTGTTTTTGGTATATCTGATGCAGATCAAAACCTGGCCCGTACGTATGAGTTGCACATTACTCCCATCTGCGTGAAATATAAACGAATGATTTGTTTATAAGTGTACTTCATGTTTGGATTTTTATTTCCTTTCATTCATCGGAATTTTTTCTGTTCTTCTTTGTGTAAATTATCTTTGCCTTCCTATTATTGTTATCTTTTTTCATAGTGTTAATTTTGATGCCCTTAACAAGTATCACATTGGATCTCCACACTTTTATCCCACTGATTTTTATCCAAAAGGAATTTTGGCTATTAAACAATAAAATTCATTGAACTAGATGATCTTCTCTTTCAGTTGTATAATTTATTTAATTTTGTGAAGTTTCACTTTGCAATTGTATTTACATTATATATTTGGCAGTGTATCTATGAGGGTTTCTGATAGTTCAATTCATGAGGTTTAAAGCAATTTATGTGAAATATGATATATGTTCAATTCACAAGGTTTGGAGCAATTTTTGTAAACTATACTTATATGCTTGTAACCTGACCTTGCCATGATTATGGGCTGGACTCAAGTTGAATGTCAGGTTGGATTGGATTTGGCCTGGAAGAGCCCTCCGTGCAATTCGTGTAATGCTCTTGCCCTCCCTCACAGATTTATTCTATTACCCTTGGACCATTACAAACCTGTTAAATCCGAATACATGTCAGTAGAGATGACGTGCCGTGCTTTAGTTTTGCACTAAATTATTTAGATAAAATCCTTCTTGTTCAAATTTCATATTTTCTTCCCTTTTTATGAACTAATGGGATAAGCAAGCTGGACATGCTGATTGTGTTCTTATGGCTCTCTTTTACTTGTCTAGATTTATAGGATTCATTCAATTTCTTTTTTCTTCTTAGGGAAAGAAGCTCAATAATAGCTGGGACCAAATAATCACTGGCAAAATCATTTGATATTCATCATCTTATTCAGAAAAATGCCCAAGGTGAAGACAAACCGTGTCAAATACCCCGAGGGTTGGGAACTGATCGAGCCTACTCTCCAAGAGCTACAAGGAAAGATGAGAGAAGGTTCTGATCTCCTTCTTCTTCTTCTTCTTCTTGTACACTGTCCTGAATCCTATTCCCCTCTCTTGTTGTCTGAACTTTGTTAAATTATTAGTGGTACTAACTTTTCTTTCTTGAACAGCTGAGAATGATCCACATGATGGCAAAAGAAAATGCGAGGCTTTGTGGCCTATTTTCAAAATAGCACATCAGAAGAGTCGCTACATTTTTGACCTTTACCACCGGAGGAAGGAAATATCCAAGGAATTGTACGAGTTCTGCTTGGATCAAGGCTATGCTGACCGAAATTTAATTGCAAAATGGAAGAAGGTTTGTCTTGGACCGCCTGGAGAATCTTTTCCTGCTAAATAGTATTTGCTCCGTTTTTCCTTGTTGTGTCTGTCTGTGATATAGTAAATAAATATTTAGAACTCGTTGTGTTTCTACCCTGCCTGGCATCAGTATGGATGTTGTAATTAATGTGAATAAAAGCATGAATTTCTGAAAGTATCTTGAGAAGAATATGAGGGGAATAAAACAAGGCATGTTATATATAAAGGTGGTTCCTGATAAAATTGATAATATTCTAGATGTCACAAATAACTCGTAGTCATTCACGACAGTATAGATGTTTCATGAAATTCTATGCATTTTCTGCAATATAGAGTATCTTTTATGAAATTGTGTTACATATTCTTATTGCATTTTGAAACTTGTATGAAGGTTAGAAAATGTTAGTACAAATTATGTGCAAGTCCTCATGATTTATGTTTGACTTGCAGCCTGGTTATGAACGCCTGTGCTGTTTAAAATGCATTCAATCTCGGGATCATAACTTCCAAACCACATGCGTGTGTCGGGTCCCCAAGCACCTGCGGGAGGAAAAAGTTATAGAGTGTGTGCATTGCGGTTGTAGGGGCTGTGCGAGCGGAGATTGATCAATTCTCTTCTACCCAAATATATGATGCGAACAACTATTATTCTTGGCACCCATATATTATCTTGGTAAATGTGTAATATGTGATAGAGGGTCGACTTTTCTTCTCCGGAACTAGGACTTAAATATTGTTGTTACTGTTTATTTCCCCTGGTCATCTGATGACAAATGGTCGTGATGATTCACGGACATGTACCAAGGGATAGTCCTATAAATTGTCAAAAACTTTACTCAAGACTTTCTAGTTTGCCCTTGCTGACCTGATTGGATGTATCAGATCTTTTCGGCGTGGAGTTTTGTAGCAAAGTATACCAAATTGGCGAATTGATGGTTGCGAACACATGTTAATCTTAAATGTTGGGAGGCGGGAGGCTAACCCTTGCTATGGGCAGCCTGGCCTGGATTCACTAATTTAAAGGGTTTTAGACCCTTTGGTTAGTTATAGACTTACTATGTGGAAAGGTTTATGATCTAGTGTGTGTGTGTGTGTGTGTATCTCTGTGTGGGTGTATTCTTGAATGTTCTCTTAAATGGAGTGGGATGGGCTTACATTTTTGTTAATGTCAATAGTCTCGTCATTTTATGTTTGTAAATAGAACTAGATAAGCTTGAACGTGTTTTAGAATGTTTCCAAACATGGTTAATTGGAAATGTATCTAGAAATTATGAATGTGGCTGGGCGAACTGGCCGGCTCACATTGACCCAGCCTCCTAGAGTAATCGGTATACCGAACCAGCCTCCTGATACCGAGACTGATTGATATACCGAATGTCTGTTACAGTTTGAGCCGTCCGGTTTTATCGGAGCAATGGCCAAGCTGGGTTTGGCGTTGAAACTGACCTCTTCTGTTGCTAGGAGCTTGAAGCCTGCATTTTGGTCATTTTATCTGCAGTTCTTAGACAAACAATCTCCTCTCTTCAGGCAAACAAAGTAAAACTATATGGGTCTTGAGTACAATTAGAATGCAAGACGGGGGAAAGAAAATCACAAACATATAAGATAGAGAGGAGACATTGAGAAAAACGGTGGACGTCGTTCTTGGAAATTATGGCCACTAAGAATATTTTGATCTTATTTAATTCATACAAGGGTATGTTAAGTGACTCGGCCGTTATCAGTCGCACGCCATTTTGGTGAAAATGAGAAACAAAGCTCAATATTATACATAAAGCCCAGCATGGTTTATGGTTTATCAGGGAAAAAAATTCACCATAATCGATTCCGTTTCTCCGCGTTCATTTTCGCAGCAGATTTTGCTATTGGAAACCATGATCATGATTCAAGGTCTCCTGTTCACCTCTTGGAGGTGTCAACCCTCATAAGTCTTGTATTTATTTGTTCAGAGCTAATTTTATACCTTTAGTTTAGTCCTGTCCTCTGAGGGAACACCCTTTATTATCCAATAATGTATTTACTGACTATATATATATATTTGGCACTTAGCACGATTGGGTTGTTGAGCAGCTATAATGGTTGTTAGATCTTCAACAAATGATCAAAAAAGTCAAAACTATCTACATGGCATAAATAATGTTAATACAGGTGTAGAAACATGATGACTCTGCAGAATTTAGGTTTAAATTTCCTTGAAAGACAAGACAAACTCAGTTTCATTCACTGATTGTCATTTGGACATTAGCTCTTTATATGAAATTTACCAATCATAACCCTTTCTGAGTCCTAAATAGATCGTAAGTAACCTGTACATGTAGATAGATCTTCTTTGGGATGAAATAAGTATTCCCATTTTTTTTTCTTTTTTTCTTTTTTTCTTTTTTTTCGGGATTTGGCCATGGTTACTGGGGTTTGGGAGTTGATGAGAGTGGGTTTCGAATACGAGTCAAAAGGCCGTAAACCTACATGCCGTAGCACTGGACTAGCACCACACTCTCAGTATGGAATAAGTATTCACAGGGGAAATTTAGTAAATATAATGTCAGAAACCAATTTTTGTAATTGCATTGCACTTCGTCCCCTATAGTATAGACTCCAAAAACTGTCAACACCAATAGGAAAATTTGGGCTTCTTTCATTTTCATGAAAGATGAAATTGAAGGCAAAACCTCTGGGTCATGTTCTAATCACATAAAAGGGGAAAAAAATGGCTCTCCCATTGACCACGACATTATCCACACGGGTAGAGTTGGTAAAAATCCTCATTGTTTGAGACGATTTTGAAGAACTAATTTTATATATGGGGACAGGGATGGGATGAAGGCTTCTTTGAAAAACTCGACGGTTTCGGACGAGGGTTGCCCCATCCCTCTCCATCTCGAATATATTATAAATTTATTAAATTACCTTAACATACTTTAATATATTATTCAAATAGGTTAAATATATATATTCACACAGGAAGAAATCCTAACTCTCATTTCGTTTCATGTCTCGAGTCTTGTGAAAAAAAAAAGAGCTGCGAGTTGAGATCATAAAAATCCCCACCCTGGCAGGAGCCGCCCCATTTGGAGTAGTTTTGGGAAACCGATTATATAAATGGGGACGAAGAAGGGAGCTACTTTGAAAAACTCGACAGGTTTTGAAGCGATTATGGGAGTAAAAAAATTAAAGGAGGATGGAGATGGAGAATGAAATCCCCAGTCCCCACCCCAAACCGTCTCATTATCATCCTTACGCACCGATGATTTAGGGCGAACCCTACACTCGGATATAGTATATGTGATTCACACAAAATACAAAAGTATTTAAATTTAGGGAATTTCATAAGGGAGTCATGATAAAAAGCATTTATTTTTTATTATTACTATTTTATATTTTATTCTATCTATTCTTGGTGGGTGGTTCTATTGACTTATCCCAGTTTTGTGCCAATTGCTAGAGGTGGGCACTTGCTTCTTCTTTTGGATTCTATCTCATGTCTAAGTGATGCACTTCGGCCTAACTCACACTTGGATTACACAAGAATATTCTTTGAAGTGGTGATCAGTCTCCATATAAGAGATATCCTCTGTTCTTCTAGAAGACTTCACAACTTGGGAAAAATAATAAATTTTTTCTATAAGAGATATCCTCTGTTCTTCTAGAAGACTTCACAACTCGGGAAAAATTATAAATTTTTTTATTTTAAAAAAAAAAAGATTCTTATGATTTTTAAGACTAGAACCAACCGGAATGTGTATATATGAATTGAGGGCGATGGTGATAGATAATGGGTTGTATAAAATTTCAGGAAAAAAAGCTATCACGGGAAAGCTCAACCATGTCTTTTTCAACGACTAATTCAAAGACTCCTTGTTTTCAATCTAATGGTTGGTAGCAAAATCTATGAATCTAAATTAATTCAATTTTAAAAAAAAAATAACACATCCTTTTGACAAAAATAAGAGGTGAAAATTTTCACAGTTATAGTGCTTCTGGAATATTAGATATGGTGGACCTTGTGAAAAGGATTGAAAATGAGACAACGAATGCATTTTTATGCGTTAGAAATTCAATTCACTTGAGGCAATCATGAACAATTATAAATAAAATATTTATTGAACCAGTGTCTACCTGAAATGTCTAAAATTTTGAGAAGTCGCCAACTTTCAAATGCTTTTATACATTAGGATTTACACGTGCGGAATTATTACTGCTATTAGTTTTTTTTTTAACAATCTATTGATATTAACAAAATACTGCTCGTTTTTGTTTTTATCTTCTTTTTTTTTAAAATTAAAATCTTATTTAGTAAAAGTTAAGAAAATAAAGAGGAGATTCGAGTTTCTTGCATACCAGCCTAGGGTTTTCGAAATCTACTATTAAAAAACATAGGGGTATATAAATTATACCACTTTTTGCTTAAAGTGACGGCTGGCCGACATAGAGGAGAGAATCTGAGAAAGAAGAGAACAAACTGACAGAAGAAAGTGTTTGAAAACCCTAGAACTGATTCTTTTTTTTTTTTTTCTTTTTTTTTTTTACCATCTTGATTGTGAGCATGTTCACAATTTATTAAAAAAACATAGATCGAAAATTAGAATAACAATGGCCAACTGCCTCCATTGGCACACAAGTGGACTCCACCTAACAACACACTTGGTCACATTCACATTACCATAACTCACGACAATTCGAAATTCAATTAAGATTATCCAAAACAAAACCAAAAAAAAAGGGTTTAGTGTCACCTCGATCATCATAATTCAAGAGAAACCCATGGTCAACCCACCAAAGTCGTCTTCCACTGTATTTGATTTTTTAAATAAAATAAATAAAATGACACCAGTTATTCTGTAGTGTAATGACAATGTTTGAAATATTGAACAGTGTAAAAAAAGTACAGTACTTTTGAGAGTCCATTATGGCTTTTTTTTTTTTTTTTTTTTCCTCTTTCACGTAACAAAAGAATTGTAGTAAGTGCTTTTGAGTCATCATGTTCTTTCTTTTTCTCTGAACAAAGAAGTGCGGATTAGTGGATACACCCGTCAAAATCTTCTCCACTTACTTGCTTTTCACGTTTTTACGTGGACACTTAAATTTTGTTTGGTAATTGTATTTGTTTATTATTTATTATTTAAATTTAAATATAATAAGTGTTTATGTATAGTTTTTGTTTATAAATAAATAGATACATTATTTGATAACGTAAATATATTTATTGAACAGTGTAAAAAAAGTACAGTACTTTTGAGAGTCCATTATGGCTTTTTTTTTTTTTTTTTTTTTCCCTCTTTCACGTAACAAAAGAATTGTAGTAAGTGCTTTTGAGTCATCATGTTCTTTCTTTTTCTCTGAACAAAGAAGTGCGGATTAGTGGATACACCCGTCAAAATCTTCTCCACTTACTTGCTTTTCACGTTTTTACGTGGACACTTAGATTTTGTTTGGTAATTGTATTTGTTTATTATTTATTATTTAAATTTAAATATAATAAGTGTTTATGTATAGTTTTTGTTTATAAATAAATAGATACATTATTTGATAACGTAAATATATTTATCTTATTTTTTTAATAATAAACAAAAAAATTATGTTTATTAACCTTAAATTATATGGCCTTCAAGTAACAAATTGCTACTCTAATAAAAAAATTTAAAAAAAAATTCAAAAGGTACTCATTGCTTAAGTTACATTTCAATATATCCATTATGAAAACCCACCAAAAGAATAATATTTGTTTTGCTTATTAGCTCTATGTTTTCTTCATTTAAAAAAAAAAAAAAAAAAAACGTCGTTTTGACTTTTATAAAATTAGTCTGTGTGAACAATAATTATATAAGTGAATTTATATAATCGATAAACATAAACAATATTAACAAACTTGTTTTTCTTCAAAATTTGTTTATATAAATAATAAATTGAAAAC